GGGGGGGGAGCGGCAGGGGGCTGTCTTGCCTGGGGCAGCACAAAGTGTAAATACGCCGCTGCTCCATTGTGAGTGATTTTAGTGAGGATCGTATATAGGGACTTGAGCAGGCTGGTCGGGGGGACACATGGCCCTTCTTGCTATCTGCATGATTTCTGGTGTGGCAAGTTCAAAGTGGGGACATCCCTCCATCTCTGGTGGCTTGGGAGTGTAGGTCACGATGTTCACTTCCTGGGGCATTTAATTTGTGATTTGTTCTCCCTTTTGTGGCTACTGTAGTGATAGGGTTTCATTGGAACTTCCTGAGTCCTTTTTTCAGCCTTATGCAAGGTTGTTATAGACGATGTATGCAACTTGCTTGCTGCCTGTCTGCGGAGGTCATGGCATGCTTCAACGTCTTCCCATTTAGAGTCCGTATGTGCTTCCGGAACATTAGTGTCTTCAACGCTGCGAGGACTATATCCAAATAAGAGTCACACCGTTCCTTGGTGGATCAGTTGCCTCTGCATAGTCGCAGGCAGATATCCTAGTTCCTAGGCTTAGACAGGTTATTTCTGCCTTTTTGCTGTGGTGTATGAGCTTTTAACCACGTGGCACAGTCCATAACTGCTATTAGCATTGCTGCTTGCCTAGGATCTCTTGAAGCTCCCAGGCTGCTGTCTAGGATCTACGATCTGTTGCCTGTGTCCTTCAATGAACGGAGAGAAAAGGATTTTACGGTGAGTACTATAATCCTATTTTTGATGCAGACATTACCTACCAGTTTCCTGTGTGGTGTGTAGGAGGTTCCTGTGTGTTGCCCCCCACCCCATGCATTCCCATACCCTGTAAGATGTCCTTCGCAAGACCTGTACTATTCCGGCTGTCCCTTTCTGACTAGTTTCCAACATTTGGAAACATTTTCTAGGGATACCTCTATGCCCTGAAACCAAGAGCATGGGTAGGTTCAGATTCAGTACCATGGGAGGCATGGGGGATTTAACTAGGGGTATGAGTATGTGGTATAGTTGGTGTGGTTTCCAAAAGTGTATTCCATAAACTAGGCTTTAACATATTGAACAACTAAGAATAGTAGGAGAATATGGATGTTTAAAATGTAAGCGATTTTAAAATAATGTATATACACAGTGGCAATTAAAACTTCCTAACGTGTAAAGAGCATAACTTTATTAACACTGGAGTCCTATATGACTACATGTGTTTTAGAAAGATCAATGAAAGCACTAACCTACTTTCACCTGAATACTATTATTCCTGCATTCATAGAGAGGATAAAGAAGTTATGTGATGCACTGAACACTTCTGTTTATTAAAACATTTTCACAAGTACATGGTGTCATAAATCAACAACATCATTTTATGAAAGCTTGTGTCCTAAAATCTGAAAATTGTTACAAATGTATGTAGCCAAACACCATATGCCAACAAGGTTTATACAGCTAGTCACTCTCTCAACTTTCAAGTATGCTAGGAATAAGCAGTAGTACCCGCCAACTGCTAAAGAGGAGCTGCTCTTCGAGCTTTGTACTTATTGAGTACAGTCTACACTGGTGTTGTAGATGGTATGGCAGTTACACACTTTCCTGGTACCCCAAGGACCCCACCATCTAGCCATCCCAATTAATAGCTCATGATTTCAGTATGTAGACCAGGGGTCTCAAACCTCCAGCCCTCCAGCTGTGGTGAAACTACAAATCCCATGATGCATCTCTCTTCGGGAGTCATGTCTGTGGCTGTGAGAATCTTGAAATGCCTCATGGGATTTGTTGTTCTGGAGGGCCAGAGGTTTGAGACCCCTGATGTAAACTCTTCCCTTCATGGCCAGATTTTACAAAGGTTTTTGTAAAGGATTTTTTCCATGATTAACAGATCGCATTGCCATTCTTGCTTGAAAGGCAAGATGGTGGCACTTATTTATGCGTTTTACATTGTATTCAGTTATAAAGCATTGCCAGGGTACATTAGTTATGAGGCTACACAACTATACTAGGTTGCTGTCTGTTGATACTTTTGCTTTACACAGGGGAGATAAAGTACATATTTTCTTTGAGTATCACTGCTTGAAAATGTAATGTACCCGAAAGCCTTGAAAAAACAAGAAGGTAATTAGTAGAGGTGCATATGGTAAAAATCGTGTAAGTGCAAACCACATTTTCAGCTGTGATTTTATTTTTTTTTTTATTTTTTTTATTGAAATGCAATTTTTATTGTTGAGCTTTACCAGGTACGATTTGATATTCATTGTATGTAAAATTAATATCTTGGACTAAAGATTTTGTACTGTTACAGTTGACACTGAAGAGGTGGTTTATACTGTGATAGACCAGTTCCAGACTTTGTTTCAACCCACAGTAAGTTATTATCAACTTTGATGATTATAATTGCAGTACAAAATTTGCAGAGTATACACGGTAGTAGAAATGGAAGATGTTTGACTTTTTTTTTTTTTCTATTGGATCTATTTTTACAATCGTAATGACTAATTGGTTGACACTATGGAACATTTTAGGTCTGGTTTGCTGCAAATCAACTTATGTAAGGTTTAAAACTGAAAATATGAACTTGAAATACGGCAGATAGGTTTGGGAATTGCTGCTCAAGACTAATTTGTATCGCAGCCTGATGAAATTTGGAGTTTTCAGCATTTTCAGTCAGATATTATGTTCAATTTTTTCTATTTTAGATTCGGCATCTCCAAAGACAGAAGGTCTTGAGTTTAGCAGCTGCTTGCCTGAAATTAGGCCACTATCAAAAACTGTGTTGGCTGCAGGTACCGTGTGTAATCTCTTATTTTTGACATATAGTGTTTAATTATAACTTAGAGAATACTTGACAAAAGTTCCATGTCCTATTAAACAGCTGTTTTATATGTCAAAAACACATTACTGAAACTGCCATGATTCCCTCTATCAGCTAGTTGACTACATGGTTTGTTGCTGCCTCTAAATTTTGGCCCAGCTAGTGCCAAGCACCTTCCAATTGGACCCAATTAGTAGAGATCTGATCATAAGCAATCAGCCAGCAGACAAGGGCAGTTGCAGTGCTGTAATACTGAATATATGGTTTATGTCAGGGCTCAAAATTTCAAGTCCCGAGCTACTAGCCAGGCCTTAAAAGTTACTCGCCACCAGTTGCCCCACCTAACCCCTACCCTGCCCCGGACTTAACTCCGCCAGGTCAGTAATGTAACGCACAGCGCAGAGGTCAGAGTTGGAGCAGATCTGTGCTTCATCAGCTTCTTTTGGGGGGTCCTAGGTGACATTAGGGGTCTTGGAGACCCCTGATGTCTCCATAAAGAGGACCTGTCACATATTTTGCTATCACATAGGGGTTTTTTATTAGCCCTGTATGTGATCGCAATAAAGTTTAGTAAAAAAAATGAAGTCCCCCCCCCATTTTTTTTTTTTAAAGTTACACATAAAGAAGAATAAAAAAACAAAACATGCATGCAAACATGCGTCGGGGGCGCATACGTGCAAAAAAGACGATTACGCCGCACATGTTACATATCGCTGCAAACGTCGCAGTGAGAGCAATAAGTCTAGGGCCATTAATCACTGATAACACTAAACTGATGAGCGGTAAAAGCTTTTAAAAGTGTCGCCTATGGCCAATTTTGGGTATGGTAGTTTTCTGCGATTTTGCGGGTGCGCGCAATTTTAAAGCTTGACATGTTTGGTGTCTATTTACCCGACGTGACCCCGACTTTTATATTTTACCAAAAAACTGGGTAATAATAAATGTTTCCTAACATAATGTAAAAAAATACTTTTTTTTTTTCCCAAAATTTTCTGTATATTTTTCCTAATTATAGTAAAAAATAAAACCCCCAGTGGTAATTAAATACCACCAAAAGAAAGCTCTATATGTCCCCAAAAAATGGTATAAAATTCATTTCAGTACAGCGTTGCATGACGGAATAAACTTCAGTCAAAGTATCGCAGCGCTGAATACTGAAAAATGGCCTGGCCAGGAAGGGGGTCTATACACCTGGTCTTGAAGTGGTTAAAAACTTTTTTTCCTTTTTTAACTTTATCACTATCATAAAGTGGCTGATAATCCCCATAGTGCAGATGACGAGCTTTCTTTTAGTAGACATCAGGGGTTGTTGGACCCCCTAGTGTCTTTGCCAATACTTTTTTTTTTTTTGAAGCGAATCAACCACAGATCACAATAGTGGCTCTAAACCTGAAGTGATCAGAGCTGATCACTTCCAGTGTCCTTTACAGATGTCCCTCCATCCTGACACCTGCCATGAAGGTGGTGGTGGTGGGAGGGGCTGTGGAAGTATTTGTAAGGTCACAGGAAAGCCAACAGTGCAGCCTTGAAGTATGTCCCCATGTCTGTACTGTCACCATTGGTGGCTGCAAAAGGGTGAATGCAAACACTCTGAAATTGCAAGTTAATAATAGTGCATGCATACTTGCAAACCTATGTATTTTGTGGATTTCTCAGTAGGTTTGCTAGCTGCTGTGCAGGCATAGCAGCAGGGCCTAAAAACACTCTGACCTCCTGGCTTAATCTCTACAGGTTGCACAGCTCAGATGTCAAAGTCTTACCACATCTTTCTCTAAAAAGGTTATTCTACCCCTACATTTGCAAGGTGCAAAGCACATCACTGTGCGAAACAATGTGGCTCTTTTTAGTCCCACCCTGTGTTCTGTCTTCTCATTTTTTTTGACCACTGCACTTAGTAAAAAAAAAAAAAATAACAAGTGGATGATTAAAGATCAGCAGCATCACTGCAGGTATTACACTGCAGCCTTACTGGTACAGGGGACTGCAGCATGTCTGTTGATGCAGCTACACCTTATACATCTGCCAGTACCACTGAACAGAGAGGAGTGTTCTGACAATGGAGGGCATGACCGAGAGACCATGACAATGGGGGACATGGCTGGAAAACAAGTGTTTTGACTACGGCGGGACATGACTGGAAGAGGGGTGCTCTGACTGGGGAATATGGCCAGGAGAGAAGAGTTCTTGATGCATGTGACATGGTTGGGAAAGGAGCGTTTTGACTGCAGGGGACAATATTGGGACAGCAGTGTTATGACTGTAGGGCAGTAGAAAGGCATCATGGCACACTCACAAACCAGCATGTAAAGCAACTTGTCTCACCACTAAGGACAATGACAGAGGTTTGGATACACGTCTTCTGCAAAGGATGTGTAAGCCGCACTGCCGCACCAAGGCACCTCTTATAGTGCGTTCCTAACTCTAAACTATGAGAGTCTCCATCTTGGAGCACATGGGGGCAGAAGATATCAAATTGGGTGCAGGCCTGTCAGGAGGACGCCCCACCTCCTTAAAGGTACGGAAACATACAAGGGATCCCGCACATCCCATTGGCAGCTGAGAAACCCCATGCGTCGCTGCACCAAATCGGTAAAGCAAAACAAACGACAAACGCACTCAACAATTTGTTACCAGTTATACAGTAAGGTGCACACGAAATGGGCTTTGAACAGTAGAACAGTAGAAAGGCATCACGGCACACTCACAAACCAGCATGTAAAACAACTTGTCTCACCACTAAGGACAATGACAGAGGTTTGGATATACGTCTTCTGCAAAGGATGTATGACTGTAGGGGACACGGCCAGAAATGGAGCGCTCTGACTGTGGGAGACATGGCTGAGAGATGAGCCAAGATGGTTTGCCTGTTGGGGGGGAAATGACCAGGAGAGAAGCGTTTTGACAGAGGGGGACATGGCCAGACGAGGAGTATTCTGACTAAAAGGGACACAGCAGGGAGAGGTGCATTCTGAACATGGGTGACATGACCTGGAGAGGAGCGTTCTGACTGCTGGGGTTGGAGGAAGATGGCCAGAAGAGGATTAGTCAGATGGGAAAGAGGTGGCCAGAGAGAATGGCAGCAGAAAGGTGCAGATGATGGTGTAAGCAAACTGCGTGATTTGCTTTTTAAAAGAAGCAAACCCCAATCTGTCAGCTCTCCTAAACCAAGGCTGACCATACACTATACAATCTCCTTTAGATCTACCAACTATGTAGTGCAGGGGCCTGTCTGATTTGATAGAAATTGAATGGATTGTTTAGGTTTGTCCATATATTAAATGGTTTTGGTAAATATAAAGGAAATTGTAGAGAGACTGTGCAATCAGATTGTATAGTGTAGGGCAATTTAACAATCTGACAACTTTGTTTTACCCTTATACAGGAGGGCTTACAGCGGTTCTTCTAGAAGTATAAGGGTTTGTTCACACCAAATGCAGACCAGATCTGCATGAGTTTCTGCACATGCAGTGCAGTGTGTGTTGCCGCGTTCCGGGCTGTTTAAAAATAAATAAATATTATTTTTTGCCTAAAATGGGATTTCAGGGTGTTTGCATGTGTTTTGTATGTGTTTGCATGCGTTATGGTGCGTTCCAGAGCAGAAAAATAGTGCCTGCTGCAGTTTTTCCACATACTCTGGAACTGAACGCTCTGGTGTGAACTAGAGCCCAAAATACCATTGGAATACATTGGATGCATTTTTGATGCTTCTGTAACTGCTCTGCATCTGCTCCGCATTTGGTGTGAACAAGCCCTAAACAGCCCTGTGCTCCTGGAGCACAGCAGATGACACACTGAGCACTGGCAGGTCTTGTGTTGGGCACCAGTGTTTTAGCCAATTGGTTAGAAACTGAACATTCGCAAAATCTTGCTTGCTTACTGGCTACGGTCAGTTTCACTCGGTGTGCAATTCCAGAGATGGGTGTATCCCTTTTCCATTTGACACTACTATGGTAGAATGGGGAGCGTGTGATTGCTGCTACATTGCTGTAGCATGTTCCAGGCTTTACGACTTGCATTTCCCTTTGCTTGTATAGAAAATGTAGAAAACCTCTTCCAATGCATGCAACACATCCGCACCTTGGTTCAGATGGGAAAGAAAAGATGGACAGTTGTCTCTATGCCAATTACTCTTTGCAAAACCGCTACATGTGTCTCTGATCGTCCAAAGAACTGCATCCTGTTTGAAATTGTGTTAACTTCTGTTTTAGGTGGCCACCAGAAATCATGTCTACCTCTTTGATATCCTCACCATGGGACCAGGAGTCTTCAAAAATGGTCTTCAAGTGATGCTGCAAGACAAAAGCATCCTAAAGGTTTGTACAATGTTCATAAATAGACTAGCACATTCGTTGTAAATTCAAAGGTGTCCATTCACTCTCATTAGCAAGTGACATGGCTGTCCAAGGACAAGACTTTCTGGTTTATGACCAGCAGTATAATGTTTGTTTTAATTAAGCTTGAATAAATAAAAATAAAAAACTTCCAATTTTGTGTAATGAAGAAATTAAGTGTCTAATGAACCAAACTGTTGATGGGCCAAAAATCTTGTATGCTCTTTCCTTTCTCTTTGACCTAACCACACAATTGGGGGAATTTATGACAACTGGAGCAGACAGCATCTGGAGCAGTTGACCATGGCAACCAATCAGCTTCTCTCTTCAGTTTGTTCAGCTAAGCTTTGCAAATGAAAGAGAGAAGCTGAATGGTTGCCACGGTCATCTGCTCCAGATTGTGTCTGCTCCAGTTTTGATCATTTCCCCTAGTGTATGCTCGTCTGAATTCCTATGCATGTGTTGTCAGCCTGCCTACTTCATTCCTGATGCATCAAACAGAGCACATTTTCCTCATCCTTAGCACCCCTCCTTATCACAGTTTTGGCTAGAATAAGAAGGTTTTTTTGCTGTCTGCAAACGCTTCATAGATATTTCCCCTTTCCCACATGGACAGGGAGTGGTATTTATGTACATAATGTTTTGATAATGAAAGTATTTATACAGATAAAATAAATGATGAAGCTTTGTGAACTGACCTACTGACCCTAACTGCAGTGGGAGGAAAGGGATAGAAAGGAGAGAAGATTGTGTGGAAAAAGATGTGATCGTGTGCAGAAAAAAATACCAGAAACACAGACGCATGTAAAAAAACAGGCAAAGGCCTGCAAGATCCCCTTCAACATATATAGGATATACATATATAGTTTGATGTGGTGAACTGAAGTGATAGCCACAAACCTTGCAGGATTTTTATAAACTCTGTTTATCTTTCAAACATTTATACCGAAGGATAGAAATACATTAATATCAAATAGTAACAATAAGTATGTGGAATCACCTGGGAACAGATGACAGCATTTAAAGGAGAACTATGGGGTTAGGGCTTTTCCCCATAGTTCTAACGGCAGGACACAAACTAGCGTCCTCCCGTCACCCACAGCTCAGTATACCGCGAGCTACAGCTCGCGGTATACTGAGACGCCACAGCCAGAGCGGATCCCGACAATTATGTCTGGATCCACCCAGCTGCGTGAGTGACAGCTGGCTCTGCCTATCTAGAGGCAGAGCCAGCTTTATCCACCCCCTCCTCCGTCCGTTCCGCCAGTCAGCGCTGGAGGATCAGACAGGGGAGGGACTGGATTCCCCCCTCCCTTGTCCGACCCTCCAGCGCTGACTGGCGAAAGGATGGCCCCTCCCCTGTCACGGCTCTCTGCCGACTCACAGGATAGAGAAGTGAGCGAGCGCCGGTGTGTGTTCGCTCACTTCCCGATCTACTGAGCCGGCCTGTGACAGTTTCATTGTCACACGTCGGCTAGAACTATGAGGTGAGTTAAAATCACTCACCTCATAGTTCTCCTTTTAATAAAAAAAAAGTCAGTCTCTTGTGAGTCCTTATTGCATACTTGAAGTGAATGTCATGATACAGAGAGGTAAAACATACATTGGCTGTGGTGGTTCTGGCATTCGGACCAGGGTAGGTAATTCCAAACTTGGGAGTGAGAACAGAGTAACACGATAGGTCTGAAATTTGAGAGGGCAATTTCTCTTCCCATACATATTTTTTTTTCCATCTGGGATAATCTGATTGATTACAAATTTCCACCGAGCTATGATGTGAAAAGGTTGGATCATTCATTTAATGGCTATAGTTTTATGGTTATAACAGCATTTCTCTCAGAAATATTCTGGTGCAACATGGCCAATACTCTCATCTAGTATATCAAATAGATCAACTTCAGGTGTACAGGGGAGGAGGAGTAGCATTAGAGACATAAGCATGGTAACTACCTTCCAGAACTCTGAAAGCAGCGGACCTCTCGAGATGAGGCACATAAAATCTTCCTGGGGTTAAAGGATATATAAACCCTCAGCGCTTTTTGCATATATCTACCGCTAGCAAGCAACTTACCTGGATCTCCGCCGCTCGCTCCCGTCTGAAGATCTGAAAAAGGATCATGGGGCGGGCACATGCACAGTACAGATCTCTCGGCCAGGAGACGAGGAGAGAGACAAGGAGGGGAATTTATCAAAACTCGAGCAGACAAAATCTGGTGTAGTTGCCCACGGCAACCAATCAGCATCTCTCTTCAGTTTGCTCAGTTGAGATTTGAAAATGAGAAATAGAAGCTGATTGGTTGCAGTGCAAATATGCTCCAGTTTTGATAAATTCCCCCCAAGGTAAGTAAATGGAGGCAGCGTGCACCCGCACAAACTCAGTGGGACAGGAACTGCCAGGAAGAGAGAGGAGTCGGCGCTGGATCGGAAACCGGCACCAGCGCTGGAGGGACTCCTGAAAACTACAGGAAAGAAGTTGATGATCGGATCAAAAGGCATCATTTAAGGCAAGTCCTTACTAGCATGGGAGGGGGGGAGGATGTCCTTTAAATTCACTTTAAGTACATCCTATGCAATTAGGGGTGGCCATATTATGGTGGCTGATTCAATGCAATCGAACAGAAGATGAATATGTTTGATGAATGTTATACAAATGAATCAACCTGGTATTAACAGCAGGCGCAACTAACCTATGGGAGGTTTTCTGTGAGATATCACTCAGTACAGTAATGTTTTTCATACCTGGTGAATACAACATTATTTTTCTATTGTTAGGTCATCCATGATGGTCGTTTGCTAGCAGATATTTTGTTCCACCAGTATGGTGTGACCTTGACTAATGTTTTCGATACACAGGTATGTCAGCAAATAAGTGTTTTCTACTAGTAGAAGATGGAGCATTATGCTCAAAAATTATAACTACACTTATACTTAAAGCAGAAGTCTGATTTTTTTTTTTTTGTAATATTTAGGAATTGTATCTTCTGTGTAATGGTCTGTATTATTAACCATTCAGGTTTATTTCATATTGTGCACAATCTTGTACATCTTTCATAACATCATAATCTTTTTGGTGTTCTTAAAAAACAGGTGGGTGATGTGTACCTGTTTTCAATGGAGACTGGTGGCTTCCTTCCCCAACGCACAGCTACTTTGAAGGATTGTTTGATTCGGTATCTGAATATGCCATCTACACATGTTAATTTTCTAAACGTCAAACAAACATTGATGAAGGTTGGTGTATTTTGCAGAAAATTGTTACTTTCTATATTTTTTTATCACCCCAAACTATTATATATATATATATATAAAGGGATATTGTTGGAGTTGACAGACTACTTACTGTTTACTATTAAATTCAAGATATAAGGAATAGTAAGCAAAAGCTTTGGTGAGGGCCAACCAGGTTTTTCAATTGATGTCAGTTGTGATGATATTTTCTGCTCTAGCCTGTGTTTCTCTATGCTTTTTGTTACTATGACAATGCAAGGATGTGTTTCATCAATGTAGCACAAAACTCTTACAGTAACCATATGTAAAAATGTGTATAGCTTAACCTCTCTGGCGGTCTGCGATGGATTTGGACTTTCTACATTGCCCAGTCCTTTTCTTTCCCTATTGGATAACCCACTTTTTCCTCTTGGGCTACATTCTAAGGGTATCGGATCCTGGAACCGGAAATTTTGGCCTCAAATTAGGAATGTTGTGATAGCCACGTCTTTAATCTCTCCAGCTGAGATAGCTGCCAATTGCTCAAGTAAATCAGGGGTATGGTTCTTAAGGTGCCCATACACTGCACGATTATCGTACGATAATCGTATGCGATCGGTTTTTCGTACGATAATCGAGCAGTGTGAACGGAGACGTGCGACCGTCTCTACTGTACGGTCGCACGTCTTCTGTTCGAAAACCAGCCGGGAATCGTACGATTCTCGGCTGGTTAGAACGGTGCTCGGAAGATAAATGCTGAACGGGCCGGTGTGCGCACGCGCACACTGCCCGTTCAGCATTGCGGTCATCGGAAGCCCGCCCCTCAGGGGGGTGGGCTTGCGATGATCGAGAGTGCGATCTGCCTGTCCAAGATAGGCAGATCGTACGTTTTTTTAATCCCTTTACAACCATCGCAAGACTAAAGTCTTGCGATGGTTGTAGAGTGTATGGCCACCTTTACATAGACAACTTAATCATTTCACCCTAATCTGACATTCATCGCCCACTTACGTATTTGAATCCCTGTACACACAATTATTGACCCCAAGTCTGGATACCTTTTTTTTTTCTCCTTACTATTTTTTTCCGTTCCTCTTTTAAGTGTCTTGCGTTTTCTAGAGGTGCACCGGAAAAGAAATTTAAAAACCGAAATAAAAAATAATTGTCAGTCCGAAACCAATACCGAAAATGTTTTTTATTTTGATTTTTTTTTCATATTTGTAAAATATTTTTATTTTTATAAACGTTTTTAATTTTTTTATTTTTTACTTTAGTTTTAGGGTTTCGGGGAAATATTAGGGGTATTAACAGACCCCTGATATTTCCCTTTTAAAATAGAAAAAGAGATTGAGAACACAGAGTCCTCAATCTCTTTTTCTGTATCCCCTGTTATCAATGAATAGGAATCCTCTATGAGTGTTCCTATTCATTCATAACATGAGAATATAATATGTTTACTATAACCACAATTATGAATAAACAGGAGGGGATATAGATCATTTCCATTCATTCATAATTGAGGATATAGTCCACATTCCATATCCCGAATTATCTACAAATGATCACTGATCGCGTATCTACAAACACTCGATCACTGAGTGTTTGTAGCCTGCTCTCCTCTCTGACACACACTGTCACAGGAGGCTGAGTGAGCGGTGCAAGAGGAGAGCTCCTAGACCGCTGCAGAGACGCTCAAGGGACCGAGTAAAGGGCTCCAATCCAGTGGCGAACTACCGCCGTTGAAAGGCGGTGCGGGCGCACCAGGGCCTCGGGCCTGTTTTTTTTTTTTTTCTTTATTAAACTAGTGATCTTGCTGAGGGCTTGTTTACACCAAATCCAGACCAGATCTGGATGAGTTTCTGCATATGCAGTGCATTTTGACACATTTTTGATGCGTTCTGGTCCGTTTTTTGTGTGTGCTTAAAATGGGCTTTCAGGTGTAGTCCAGTGCATTCCAGAGCGTTTGAATGCGTTTTTGATGCTTTTGCATGTTATGTTTCGGTGCATTCCAGAGCACAAAAAATAGGGCATGCTGTGGGTTTTTCCACATGCACTGGAACTAAACACTGTGGTGCTAATTAGAGCCCAAAATGTCATTGGAATACAGAACACATCAAAAATGCATCCAATGTAACTGCTCTGCATATGTTCCGCACTTGGTGTGAACAAGCCCTTAGCAATCATCCCTGGTATTTTTGTTCTCTCCCTCACATCATTCTTTAACTGTCAACAGAGTTCCAAGTATACCTACTCCTTTTTGTATGTCTCTATTGTATTTGTGCTTAAAACTTTAAGAAACACTGATTTGAAAACAAAACAAAGAAAATGCTTCTCATAGACTAAACTGGCCCCTTTGTTCAGCATAACCATTTCCCACATATTTTTCAGGTTTGACCTTGTGTACTGAAAGCCAATTCCTAAAGTTTAACTACATTCTGAAGCACGGGAAATATATTCTAGCTATCCCTCTTCTTGACAGCCAATGACTTCTAGTAAAAATAATGGCAAGTGGAGGTTTAAAAGAAGTTGTTGGCTACAAAAGGCACCAGTAACTTATTTTTAAATTTGCCACCTCAGCACTTTTCATACATGTGATCAGGGAGCCTATACAGCTGCATAATCACTTTTACAAAGTAAAACCATGCCCCCCCATACCCTTTCCCCAGTTACCACCACTGCAAATACTGTGATAATACTGTTGTCTTCTGCTGTTGCCAGTCTTATCGCCAACTTTACAACTCAGGATGCCTAGAAAGAAATCGGGGAACATACTTCACATATTTATAATGTCCTTGTAACTGGTGTTTTATATTTCTTTGCAGGGAATCCCCAACGTCTGGTCTGACCGTCCAATATCTGCTACCTTGCTGAAAGTACTGGCTCTAGAAGTATTGCACCTCCTAGATTTGCGCCAAGTCATGCTGGATAACATGCTTGCTGACTTTACGCTTTTAGTTAACAGCTATCTTAATGCTCCTTACCCAGGAAGAGCAAATGCTTTAAATAGGACTGAGGTTGGTCAAACATTTTATTAACTATTTGTTACTTATATTTATAGCCTATTTTTTTTTATAGCCTATGCAATCTATAGACACACGGATGACGTGCTTCCTCTGCTGGTATGGAGAGAATAAATTGCTAATAGATAGCACTATACATCCAGAGGGAGGTTTAAGCATCATCAGTTAGAGTAGCATTGTGTTTCTCAGTGTCAAGGAGGGATGTCACCTATAGGCCACTTTCCACTTGTTCACTTATTTTTGTTTTGTAGATTTTTTTTATTTACCTCTCCCATACAGGCAGACTATTAAGAGAAATGCTACTATCAAAAACAATTCTTTTTGGTTATAAAGCAAGACGTGATTAACCACGAATAGTTTTAAACAACTAGTGTTGCACATTTTATTCTTAAATTTGTTCTATTTAGAATTGGGACAATGCTGTTTCTATTCCAAAGCACAGCATAGTTATTTACAAATGAACTAAAGGCCTTTGGGTTTTTTTTTTTTTTTTCAAGAGATTGCAGAACTATTAAGACTGTGGGCTCTGTTGACAGGTATGTTGCAGTTGTGATCCCTGAAACATTGAGTCTAAAGGGAGTGGCTAGAGGAGGGTGAGGGGATGGGAGTGGACTTACAAAAAGGTGACCAAAGCGGGATACAGAGGAGTGTTTATGGGAGGGTGATGGGCTGCATTCACTGGCCACATATGCACATTAAAGGTCACCCCCTTTGAGCAGCTATTTTTATTACAGGTATTTATATAGCACCGACAATATATACAGAGCTTTACATACTGCACATTCACATCAGTCCCTGCCCTCAAGGAGCTTACAAGCTAAGGTCCCTATCTCACATGCAGACAGGGCTGATTTATACGGCAGCCAATTAACCTTCCAACATGTCTCTGGAGGAAACTCACAAGCACAGGGAGAACATGCAAACTCCTTGCAGATGCAAGGCAGACATGGTAACCACTAAGCCAGTGTGCTACCCTTATTAACACTTGAGATTAGCAAGTATCAATTTACACAGGAGCAGCTACAGCTGCTGCTTTTGATACAGGGCAAATTCTGGCTGTCAAAATGGCAGCCAGGATTTGCTGGTAAATATGGCCAGGGATTTGCTGTTAAATATGTACACCCTAAGTAAAGCATTTAGGACGTATGCCATAAGATCACAACTGATTAATGTCCGCTGCAAAAAGCTCGCTCCTTTAGTGTTACTACTCTCTATGCTGTTCCTTCATGTTGAATTTTCCATTCATTTCTGTACATCATACATAGAGAGGGTCGGAGGAGACCATTCTTAGATCAGCACTGTTTGATTGAACGGTCCTACACAGGACAACCAAATTTGCTTCCCTGTCAACTCTAGTATCCTTGCAAATCCTACATCTAAGTTTGTAGGTGGTTCTTTCTCAGTTTTACAAATCTATATTAAGTTATTAGAAACACTTTAAGCCTCTCATGTGGCAGTGCTGGCTCTTACAATCTGGATTCTCAGTACACAGAGCTTCTGCAGACACATGACTGCGTTATTTGACAATCTTAGCTCCTCTACAGTGCCTGGCCACATTTAATTAATATCCCAAAGTCTCAATGATGTAAAGGGCCATGCCTTCACACTAAACTTTGCCCTCTTCACCTTATTGTATAGTGTGACTTGTTAATTTGTGTCACAGCGAAACGACGAGGTCTTGTTCGGCCGGGGTGTCTTCCTTTCCATTTACTTTGCTACTAGTGTTTGTAATAATTATAGAATAAATTCACTTTTTATTTTTTTTTGTAACTGTATTCTGATAAAAAAAGCAAAATTGCAAGGGTTGAACAGGCTTTTTACACACAGTCTGGAAGCAGATAGTTTACATCTTCTCTTCCTGCAGCAACTGCTCCCAGTCACCATTAGAGGGATGAACTTTGTATTCAGATAATGAGTAGTCATTTTCTTATCTTCCCTTCATCTCCCTCTTGTGGTTGCAGGAGCACCCAGTGAAAAAGACTCAGGGCACCAGCCTTTTGTAAGGCTTAGTATGTGTTTACCTCTGCCTTGTCTGCTTTCTTTGAACAGATTAAAAAGATTGCTTTCAGTTTCACTGGACAGTACAGTACTTCTGGCCCTCCACCATCAGTGCTGCATGTATGATATACACGAGAGCTGGTGTTATTCCTCCACCCCCATCTAAGGTTGGCCATTCAGAAAATGCACGGCTGCAGCATCATCACAGATTGCGTTTTGAGAATGACGTAGACAGAGGCAGACGTATGAAACACATCTGCCTATCATGCATACATCGCTGATACCGGTGAGAGGGTGGAAGTACAGTGCTATGGTGCCCAGAGTTAGGCTTTAGGTGCACTGCTTCCTTGCTTGAGATTTTGTTAAAAAACACACATAATCTAGTATGCTTAAAGAAACACTGTTATGACAAAAAGATGTATTACTGACCTGAAAATGCTAGGAGCCTTACCTGACTGCCTCTGACTTCAGTACTTTGAGGCACTGGCATGGGACAAATGTGCAGAATGTAAAATCTGTACTCTTGCATACTTGCTTCAGGTTAGTAACTCAAAATTAATGAAAACGGTGGATAAATAGGAAAGCCCGGTAAGTAGTAGTTTCAGAATGAGGGGTCATCCATTCTGGCCTACATAGTTACGCTTAGGGATGTCCCGATACCCCTTTTTTAAGACCAAGTACAAGTACTTCCCCTCATATACTTGCCGATACCAATTACAGATACTTTCCTTAAAGGGACAGGTGACATTTTAAAAAAAACAATAGACTAATGATTTTAGGCCAATTTGTTTATGATTATGAAGAACTTTAATTTAAGACTGTTTTAGAACAATAAAACATCTAACCTATTCATGTTTTCAACTGCGATCGTGCGGGACCGCCCAGGCGGTATTGCGGCGGGAAACCGCGCAATCTGCCTGGCGTGAATAGAGTACCATTAGAAAATAAGGGCACTGCCAGCGCAATCGGCGGTGGTGTGCGATTCCATGACCGCCCAGCCATCTGCTCGGTTTTGTGCGCGATGACCGGGCGGTCATGGATTGCACCCCACCGTTGGTTTTCATTTTTTTTCAATTTTTATTTACTTTGTAAACATTTTTAATTTATTTTATTATTTTTACTTGTCTTTTTTTTATTAATTTTTTATTTTCATTTAGTTACAATTTTAATCAGTTGTTATTTTTTTTACTTTATTTTTTACTTTTCCTAACTATTTTTTTCACTTAAATTTATTGCTATCACACATGGGCTAACAAACCCCTGTGTGATAGCATTTGGAGGTGACAGGTACTCTTTATTGGCCCTGTCACCTCCAACACAGGAGTTCTAGCACAGCACTGTGCTAGAACTCCTGTGACAAGAACGAGCTGGGGACAGGGGAGGGAGGTGACAGAGCCTGTCACAGATCCATGAGTCCAGCTCCGTCACTGCTCCACGCCCCCCGCCGTCACCGCTCCACGTGCAATGGAGGTGCCTCACGAGCTGCCGATAGCTTTTTTTTTCCCTCATGTGAGGACGACGTCGGCGGCGCTGAGAGGCAGAGCGTCGCGTCACTGCTGTGGGTGGAGCTCCAGGTCGCCGGCCAACTACATTAGACCCCACCTGGAGCTCCTGCCACAGCAGTGACGCAACGCTCCTCCAGCCTGCCCAGAGGACCCCAGCCACCACGGAAGGTAAAAAAAAAAAAACATAGCGCAAGCTTCAGCGCTAGGCATCGGGGCATTTTGACAAGTACAAGTACTTGTCAAAATGCCCTGTATCGGGCCCGATTCCAATGCTAGCATCGGTATCGGGACATCCCTAGTTACGCTGTAACCTATTTTATTGTTTAGCCATTTTAATCATGTATTTTGAAGACATAGGTTTTTATTGTTTACAGATTTCCTGCTCTGAGCTTCCCAAAGAACTTCAGCTGCTGTGTGTCCTACAGCAAGAGAGAAGAACGAAAGCACTAAAAGAATACGATGTTAACCAACAGGGATTCCTTACAAGGTCCTAGAACCAGTGGCCATTATCTCTAAATGAGCCTTTCTTAAATTTAGGATTGGTATTAGGGGACACCTTTATTGTGTAGACACGGTTTGTAACCCACAGAGCAATATGTTGGCAGTGGTTCTCTCGAGTGTTAGTTCACTGGTAGAGCTCCTAGGAATTCTTTGTTGTTTTTTAGTGAGGTTCTCTTTATAATAGTTAACACTCTGAGGTGATAAAATTCCTCCAGTAACTTTAGAAGTTTAAAGTAGAACTTCAAACATTCAACATTTTGGGTGAGTAGTTGTTAGATCCCATATGTCATATAATTTTTTTTTCCTTCCCACAGACAGTTGTCATCAGAAAAGAATGAGATGGGTGATCCATCATTTGACAGTAGTCATTGAAACGAGATGGGGGGGGGAGGACTCTCCTAATGAAGACACTTGTTCCAATGGCAGTAGTCATTGAAACAAGATATGGGGGAATTTTCCCAAAGAGGAAACTTGTTAAAGTGGCAACTTTCAATGGGTCATTACTGCAAGGTGAACCCCCATCCCAGTCTCAGATCTCTGGCAGACTTAAACAGGTTTCCCCTCAAGAATTTCCCTGTATTTTGCACCATCCATCATTACTTCAATTCTGACCAGTCAGCGCTGGCGGATCGGAGGGGGGAATGAAGCCCCTCCCCTGTCACGGCAGAGAGCCGTGACAGGATCAAGAGGTGAGCGAACGCCAGTATGTGTTCGCTCACCTCCCGATCTATTGAGCCGACCTGTGACAGTCTCATTGTCACAGGTCGGCTAGAACTATGAGGTGAGTGAAAAGCACTCGCCTCATAGTTCTCCTTTAAAGTGGTCCTATGGACAAATACTCCAATCTCCACTGTGGAGTTTTGCAGCTCCCTCAGGGTTATCTTTGGGCTTTGTTGTCTCTCTGATTAATGCCCTACTTGCCTGATCTGTGAGTTTTGGTTGGCGGCCCTCTCTTGGCAGGTTTGTTGTGATGCCATATTCTTTCTATTTTTTTAATGGTGCTCCATTTATTATCGAGCAAATGAGTACATAACATTACAAATAAATTAGTCGGATATAGGAGAACCCCATTGATGAAGGTCATATATTATCCAATTTAAGTAGTCACTCTACCCACTGTTGGAAATAATTTTTCTTTTAAAAAGCCTTATATGAGAACTCAAGCCAAAACGTTAGGTGGGGGGAAGGAACAGAACTACACTAGGTATTTTATTGCTGCATGTCCTTGTTCATTAAATTCCCCCTTACTTCCTGTCCTGAAGACAAGAAAAGGAAATGTAATTATTACACACAGCAATAAAAGGATGAAAAATGTTCTGCCTCTCCAGTACTCTTTCCAAAACAACAAAAATGTTCAAATAATTGTTAAAAATCATACAAACTTAACTTTCTGTACCTCCTAGTTAGGTTTAGTTGAATTTCATCGTTCTCTTGAAATTTGTTTATAATTTACACAGTGGCTGAGGAATGGTTACTTTTAGTTTGGTTAACAAAAGCTTTTCAAATACTGTACATGTGTAATAACTAAATAAATTGTTAATGCAGTTCGTAGTGTTTCTGTTATTTTTACCATGTTTTACACAGAAACGTATAAAAACTGAAACACGTTATACCTTTTTTCCCCCCCAAGTTTTATTTTTGATGTTTTACATTTAACACTTTACACAACATGTATGGGGTGGAGACAAAGCTGGGATGAAAACAAAGATGGGGGGGGCAGCGTGGAACAGGTGAAGCTAGGTCTGCAGTTACAAAAAAACAGAAGAAAGGTTTAAAGATAAGACAATGTACAATACAGAATTTGGCAAACCAGTACAACACAAAATACTGGAGGTGCACCGAAATTAAAATTTCAAAACCAAAATGAAAAAAAAAGTCAGGCTGAAACCGAAAATGTTTATTTTAACTTTTTCAAAAAATTTTTTTTTATAAATGTTTTACTTTTTTTATTAAATATTTTCATTTTGTACTTTTAGGGACTTTGGGGAAAAATTGGGGGTCTAAAACCCCTGATATTTCCCTTTTTAAAATAGAAAAAGATTGAAGACACAGTCTTTTTCTGCATCCCGTTTTCTAGGGGGCGCGCGCGAGCAGAAAAAAATTGCCGTCTGGAGACGGCAACCCGCAGATGCTGCAGTGCCGTCCGTCCGTTTTTTTACTACGGGCGGACGGCAAGAGGTTAAGGATATAGTAACCATAATCTGTCCTCAATTATTTACCAACACTCAGCGATTACCACTCTCCTTCCTGACACGCTGTCACAGGAGGCTGAGCGGTGTAGGAGGTGAGATGCCGGCCGCTCACAGCGCTCTCCTTCCGCAGCGCTCGGCTGACTCACAGTTTCTCTCCTCCCCGCTGGGACACAGTAGCGGCCAGGTGAGAAATCATGGATGCACCGCTGTATCGGCCAGAAAATGGCACTTTCGGCATTATGCTAAAAGTGCCATTTTCGGCGGCCGATATATCCGTGCATCCCTACAAAATACCACTCATAGTCCCACTATAAACCAGGGTTACAAAACAGTTGGTTAAATTGAGTAGTTGGAGTCTGTTGTAGCAATCATTATAATGATTAGGGTTCTACTGTGCTGGCTTAATTAGCTTTCTTCTACACATCTCCTACACATGGAACAACTCCTGGGGGTTGTTCCAATGGGGAGGGTGAAGATCAGATTGGGCATGTCCCTTTTTAAAAGGTAGCTTGTCTCTGAATGCAACATCATTTAACGTATAGGTAAACAAGGGCTTAGTCCCTGCATGGTGCCCAGTGAATCTACTTATGTCCCTGAAAGGGATAACATGGGGCTCTGGGGGGCAGGGGCTGCTGCCCCTTTTTCTTAATTTGGCACCATTATGGACTTCCCCTGGGTGGAATATAAGCTGCTTCTGCTTCTATGCAGTCTCCCTCTAGGGTCCTGTACTGTGTATATGGGAACAGGAAAGTCCAGGGTAGTGAAATGGAAGGGATGGGAGACTTGGTCCCAAGGGCAAGAAGGGGTCCCACTGCCATTATATCCCAGGTGAGGCTGTGGCCCGCAGGACAAGAGACTAATGCTCTCATCCATCAACAAATAAACCACAGTTCACCTCTCTGGTTGCCATGGCCTGTAAGCATTGATTGGTTTTGAAGAACGCCCAGGGCCTCCAACTGGATCTGACATCTGATTATTCATGTACTCTTTGTATATGGTAGAATTTTCATGTGTCGATAGCAAATATGTGTTGTATGGGGACAAAATAGAATTGGTTGCTGTGTAAAACTTTAATATGGGTTGATGACTGTTTTGAAGTTCATTTGTATACATGCTAAATAAAAACCTAGAATGTTATCAGTTAAATTAGACTGTTTTGGTACCTAAAAAGTCTGCACTGTATTCGTTGATTCTATTATCCCACAATGCATCATGTTCTATGAAAGGGAAGTGGAGATTCTATCATTCAACTGCTCCTCCTCCTCCTCCATTCACAGAACGCAAATCAATGTGGGATAATAGTAATATGAGCTTTGTGAGTGGCGGCCCAGCGGAACAACTTTGCAGACTAGACTGACTGCAGGCTCTCACAGTACTCAAAGACCGCCACCGAGGGCAATATCTCATGGATGTGAAGGGGGCATTGAGGGGAAGATTTTTTTACAAGAAGCTGCAGGCCATGTAATTCACACTATTACACATATCTAATGTATTCAACCAGTCAAAGGGCCTGAGGGGTGTTGAAGTATTTTATTATGTTCTAAGGCACACACCCATAATGGCAACTATTCTATTTGCATCTATATTTCCATATGACACGGTTTTACGGTCTGACAACCAACATTTATTGAACAGAATTAAATTGCAATTTGATAAAGATCGTACAATTAGGAATGTGATGGGACTCTTAAGTAGGGCTGCAGCTAACGATTATTTTCATAATCGATTAGTTGGCCGATTATTAAGTTCGATTAATCGGTTAATCGGATAAAAAAGAAAAAAAAAGGCTCCAGTGATGGACTACTAGTTTGTATTGAGATTGTAGTCCATCACCGGAGCAAGCTTGGCGCGGTGGAAGTAAAAAAAAAAGTGTGGTGTGCAATATAGTACATTATACAGCGGCGCAGTGCAGAATACCAGCAGCTATAGAGGAATGTAGCAATAGTACATTATACTATAATGTACTATTGCTGGGATTTGTAGTCCTCTGTAGCTGGCATTATTCTCCATTGCGCTGTATATAATGTATTATTGCTGGGATTTGTAGTCCTCTATAGCTGGTGGTATTCTCCATTGCGCTGTATAATGATTATACTGCGCAATGCAGATTACCACTGACCAGTTATAGAGGAACTACAAATCCCAGCAATAATACATTATACAGTGCAATTGAGAATACCACCAACTATAGAGGAACAACAAGTCCCAGCAATAATACATTATACAGGGTGTTTAATATATTATTGCTGGGATTTGTTGTTCCTCTATAGCTGCTGTTGTTCTTCAGTGTGCCGCTTTTTTTTTTTTTTTATACAGGAAACATTAAAACTGGTCTCCCTTACCTGTTTCTGAACCCTTGTAAGTCGCGGCGGCGTGCTCTGCGGGCGTGTGTCTGGCTTGTGTGGTGGGCGTGGCATACGCGGCGTGGTCGTGGCGTGCATAGCGTAACTCGTACCTGTTCCAACATATCACCCCTGTACTCCTGTTCCACAACGGCACCCCCACACAACTATTCCACCATTGCACGCCAATACACTGTTCCTCGCTGCAGCTTCATACACCTGTTCCACCGCTTCACACCCATACAATTGTTCCACACAGCACCTCCACACACCTCTTCCACTACTGCACCCATACACCTGTTTCACACAGCACCCTTGTACACCTGTTCCACCACAGCACCCCCAAACACCTATTCCACCACATCACACTCATACACCTGTTCCATACTGCACCTCCATACCCCTTTTCCACCACCACAACCCCGAATTATGAAGATTGTATTAGGGATGCACCGATTT